CAGACCCTACATCAGATAAGCGGCGCGCGGCACTTCACTGCTACCACACAGAAAGCACGTATTAGCGAATGACACCCTTGAGAGGTGGCACATATACATCAAATAAGCAATAATACAAACTAGAGATATACACCACAGGACTGAAAGGTCTGGAGTATAAATATTCATGCGCTTTCTTTTAATAAGAATCGAATTTGCTTACACACAGATAAAAAAAAGTTATTTGAAACCATTTGCAAACTAGTTTTTTTTTTACATCTCACAGAAAAGCGCCATATTTAAAAGGACAGTATAAAATAACTTATCAATGCGATCCGTACCAACCAACCAGATTTTTTTTGTTTTGTCAGTACCATTTACGAAGTTCATAACAAAATTTTACTTGACTGAAAAAATGTTCACTTTCCAGTACATATTTCTTTGCCTTTCTTTAATGAGAAACAAATTTGCTCACAAACAACAAAAATGCAAGTGCCATCTAAATTGCTTGTGAGCACTGTTAGCTGTTAAATGACGAAAAGGCGCATGAGTGCCACCCCCGAACAGATTTCAGAATTATAACCAGAACAAGAAAAAGCACAACATTTGTTGCAAAAAGAAGGAGCGAGTAGCAATGAAACGAAGATGGAGGCTAAATCCCCTTCGCTTTGACCAGTCGCCCCCCGATTCCCTGTGATATGCAAATGTCCCGTCTCCTGACTCGAGTTCCCCCTCCGTGATATTTAATGTGCTGATCAAAAAAGAACTCGAAATTGCTTTTTTTTTTTGAATCAAAAGTGTGCGGCTAGCTCGGAGCTGCTGCCGGGTAATTTCGGGGTTTTTTTCTTTTTTTTTTTTTTTTGATTTGTTTTGCAGTTGTACTAATAAGGAGGTGTTTTTTGGAGCTTCTTCCCGCAACTGCCCAGGTCCTTCCTGATCGTTCACATTTCATAGTAGGAGAATGAATGGCACTGGTGGAATCAAATTACCTGGAGCATAGCAATAATGCCTGGGGCCAGGACCGTTCAACTGTATAGACTCGGTAGCATTTTGACCCGTATTTCTCCCATCCCTGAGCGCATTCGAGCCCGATATCCGACACAATGTATTTCAAGTCGGTGGAATTTTTTACGCCATTTTCCTTAAGCAAACAAATCTGCAGAATGAGATTAAATCATTAATCACTAACAAGAACACAGTGATTGTGAAAAGCAGCTGACAGAAACGAACATTTCTGGATTTAAGCTTCAAAGGCAAACTTGTTCAGCAGCTTCGGGAGTGCCGGGAACAGTCGGAGCAACAGCAGCGGCGGCGGCAGTGACAACGGGTTTGTCGGTAAGATGGGCGCTGATTATACTGGATTGACGATGGAGTAGCAGCAGCTGCAGCAGTACCAGTGACTGCAGTTCTAACGCGAGAGCAACTGATAAGGAATGAACTGCTTGAAAAATAATCATTGCCAGCCAGCTTTTCAAGTTACCACTGGCAGAGGCTGTGCAACGGATTGTACAAGTTGCAGCAAATAGTGAGCGGCCAGGCGTCCAGGCCGCCTTGCGGGATTCTACAATCAGGGCGAAACTAATATGAGAGAAACGTCCGTCCAGTTGACCTCATTAATTTGACCTTCCAGACGCTTCATTTCAACCTTCAAACAAATGATTGTGCCACCTTCTCACAGCGACAACTGCTCAATGCACTACCACTGCCGCGTCCCTCTCCCATCCCCCTCCCATTCCATCATTTCACTCGATATTTGCATAACATTCACTGTCATATGGTCACTTGTGAACAAAATGACCAACACAATGCTCTTCGGGCGCGAAAGAAAATTACATCTGCAACAATTCCTAGCAAATTTACTTGCTGAGTCCAGTTAAAAGTAGAGGAGAGGGGAACCGAGCAAGGTGCAAAGAGAGGGCAGGAATTAGAAAGAGGAAAAAAAGTGCTGATCCACACCATAATATCCTAAACATTGCAACAGTCATTAATCTCACAGTATAACATATATATGGATACTGTTGTGATGCAACTCCTATTGGCCTTCGAATAGTACGAGCAATACAAGAAAAATGAAGGGATATCGTTCTCTACAAAATTACGGTCATGAAAACTGAAATACAGCTTCGTCATTTCCATTTACATCAATACCATTATTAATGGTTAACTGTGAGCCGTGAGTATCCAATGAGCTGGTTGCCCGACACGTCGTCCTATTTCAAATAATTCATAAAAAATTGCGTCATAGCAAAAATATACATAATTACGTGATGGTCAAATAATTTATGTGGAGCACAAACGTTGCCAGTGTTAATACCAGTGCTGTACTCAACGGAAAGAAAAAGTGGGAGGTGGTCGTTTTTTCTTTTTGGAGCTTGTAAAAACCACTCGGAATGAAAAAACACAGATAAAGAGACAGAAACGAAAAATTTGGTCAAAAAAGAAATAGTACTAAATGCTATGTGGACGACGAAATCAAGGAGTTTGACCACGTTAATTCGAAGCGATTGGAGCAAAAAGATGCAAGCTAACTCTTGCTTTCGAGGTTTGTAGGAAACTGAATACAACGGTAACTGACACCATATTCATTTGAAGTACAACTGCAGACAAGAAACGATTTATCCGCATTACTGGCTAAATTAGATCTCATTGATAACAGGTGCTTCCTGACATGCAAAACTGTTTCTCGGATCGCAACTTCTGTTGAAAAATTCCCAGGAAGTTTATGAGAGTTGTCACCACAAAACTACTCACAGGGAGACCGAAAACTGATCTTATGCTTCCAAATCTATGCATATTCTAGCAAAAAGTACAATTTTTTGGCATGTCTGCTTGCGAAGACACATGCTCATACGCCCCGCTAATCTTACCTCAATATGTGTTTTTGCGTTGTGCCAGTAATGCAAAAATACATAAAACCGATACCCATTAATCTCATGCAAATAAACTCCATTCGCACATTATTTTGTTAGAAAATTCACTATTTTGGTACATTTACACCCGGCAGATAAAATAGTAAATCACTACGGGCAATGGATCTGAAAGGCAATGAACAAATAAGCGCAGAATTGACCCATCCATTGAACCAATCGTCTTGGAATGGACGATCCGTGATTTAGATCAGCCATGCCGGAATCTTTTGTAACCACGAGCGTTCGTCCTTCAAACAAGATTTCCTGGTTTGATTATAGATCCACAGAAAATGCCTTTCTTTCACTGGCAATTCCGTGAATAAATCAGCACGATACTTTTTTCCTCTGATGACTATTGCACCGACTGCTGAGCGACCGTTGAAGAATGGATCGCTGTTATTGTACCTCCCCCGCCCCACCCCTCCCCCTCTCCTCCTCTCCACCAGTCTCTACTCAGATGCCTCAAATTATTTTCATTAATTTGCTTGCAAAAAATCAATCCCTTTGCTTTTAAACGTTTTGAAATGTCCAGCAGTATGTTGTAGTAAACTAACAAGACGAACAGATATGTGTAGAAAACAAAGATTCAGGCTACTGCTTCAGTGTGCAGTGGTGGCATCCATCGTCACTGAAGCATTTGCCTGAATCTTTATTTTCTACACATACCGACCTATTCCTCTTAGCAAAAGAACCTGTCATACTGTCTAGGCTATATTAGTTTAAATACGCAGAGTCTCTCTGCGCAATCCTCTTTTCTGTTTTATAATCTTGCAACCATCCTGTAACAGTTTATTAATTCGTTAGGCGCCTCCCACCTGACCAGCTGCTAAATAATCGTTCTGTGATCAGATCCACTCGTCCATTTAGCCTCCTGAGAGTCTAAATGGAAATCGGGATTAAAGATAAGCCAATGACTGATCCTTAGATTTTCATTCAATAAAGTTGCTGCATTCTGGCGGTGAAAAATTCACCTGTGATTGGGCCTACGTTCGAGTCTGTGAATATTCGCGCAGATGGTTGCTAT